AGGATATTAACAATGCCTACTGGAGGCAGGCCGTCATCACTATGCTAGTTATCAGAAGTAAGGTAAGCAAGCAAGTGAAGCAGTGGAACCGATAATGTCTTGTAGTTCCTATGATGTCCATGCTTCAAATTTGTCTTTCACGGTTCGGCTCTTTCCACCAAGGAAGAGGGCAGATCCAGAGCCATTGCGTTTGTTTTTTCTGTATACTTCTATGATCTGCTCTCTCCTCGGGCCTCCTCACGAAACCGCTGTCATAGAATAAGTGCGATTCACTACAACATTGGAGCTGGATAACAGTTGCGTCGTGCGAAGACGTATGAGCGTGTCTGATGATCAAGCGCAGGAGAAGAACATGCTCAAACTTGAGTGTTCCAAATTCTGAAGTAGACAAAGGAATCCGCTGAGTCTCTATTGTCAGCTTGTCTTGTTTGTCTGTTGTTAACACCTTGACGACAGCGCAGCAACTACATATGCCGCTATTTTCAAAAAAATATAATTGGTGTGGCAACTATGTAGACACCCATCACATTTATTTTTCGCGCACATGCCCGATTTGCTTCCCAAGTTTTTTGTGCACATCAGTAGACCATACATCAACATAACCAAGAACCACGTGGCTTACAGAATGACCAAATATTCTTTAGTTTGGCAGAGGTTTTTCGGACCGGACGAAAATATCCGTTCAGTTCATTCCTCATTTTCTCTTCATTAACACGAACATGTAGATAAAAAAGAATATTAGAAGTGAGTACAAAGCTAGTCGTGTGGCAAGATATATGTTTTCACGGAAACAGCCACGAATGAAAAAAAACACGAAACCACCAAAGCGAAAGTAGGTAAAATGGTCATAATATGTTATCTTGGTCGAGCCTCCATTACTGTAGGGCGTGAATCACTAGGAGAGAAAAAGAATTTTCGCGTTTCGCAGCTTGGGGTTTATTTGCTGTAGGAACTCCAGGTCCACTCATGATCAGCGGTGGACCTGAGGTTCCGCAGCGAAAAATGTTTCGCGTGCGAAAAGCGAAAAAGTCGCTTTCTGTCCTAGAGAATCACACCCATTACTGTAATCGGTAACTTGAACATATTAATTAATGAACACGAACTTAATGGAAAATTCTGAACATTTTCAAATTTGGTGTATTTACAGCTTAAGATCCACAGTTACGAGGGGGCTGCAGAATTGCACTGGTACACCAAAAGGCCAAAACGCGCGATGTCGTCAACGTGTTAATTGTTCAGCAGCCTAATATGCTGCTTGATAAAGAAAGGTTCTCCCTTGCAAGGTTCACACCAATGTTGCAAGCTATGTTTCTCTATCTCTCATTCCTCTTACTTGGTATAAATTGTGTAACGATTTTGTGAATTTTCAGACAAGTTTACATCGAAATAGAAGATCCAGTGATGTTGGTCTTTTTCACATCTGAAAATGTGCAAGGAAATTATTGAGGTTCTGGTAAGACCTGCAATGCAGTTTTTGTAAATCATACATATATTCATTTTGACCTGAGTTAGCTTCGCTGTTAAACTCGTCCACGCACAAACCTGTTTTCTTGGTCCAAGGATCTCCGACAGCAAAGTGTTACACGGTGCAGATACTAGGGGGAAGCACAAGCCGAGAAGAATGGCGGCATTGAAGAGGTACAAGCCTTTTGGTACCCTCAAAAATATGATTCAAAACAGAGAGAAAATTAAAAATAAAGACTACTGACGAAAACCTCAAAGTTGTGATACCTTGGTGTGTGCGAACACCACTCGTATTCACGCGGACAACCTCCGCCACCCGGCAATATCGTTCCGTTCACTTAAACGAGTACACTATTCATTAAGCATACAGATAGAATGGATAAAGCGAGGATTACAGCAAGATTGGGTAGGGTTCGTAGTGGACGTGGGGATGCTTAATAATGCCCTTATAGCGGAAAAGGCAAAAAAAATTGTCAAGAAGCCCAAAACGGGAAACTGAGAACGGACTCTTTCTTCGCTCATGACCTAATTGACGAGCTAGTAATCAAGTGAGAGGTCGTTCGCACATGTTAAAGTGACAGTCCCAACTGGGTTTTTACCTTTGATACTAATGGTGTGGAACGATGCGCTAGCCCTAGTCAAGAACATAAGAAGTGTGACTGAACAAAAACAACTGAAAAGTGGGCCCCACTTCGAAGGCGTTCATCTTTCTAGCGGCTTTCCAAGGTGAACTTCTTGTTCAGTCACACTTCTTATTCTTGGCTAGGGCTAGCATCGTTCCACACCATTAGTGTCGAAGGTAAAACCCAGCTGGGACTGTTGCTTCAAACCGATACCACCATCATGCCAGCAAAGACCATGCTTCAATTAAACGTAATACATGGGAATGTTCTAGGTTACATGCTCGAAGTGGAATATGTATCGTCAAAATGGTAATCCGAATAACGTGCTGCTTGCAACACATTGATGGGCGAAGCACAGGGTGAGGCGGAGCACAGAAGAATCATTGCGCCTTTAGCCACGAAAAAGCAACGTCCACTTTTTCGAACTCTGGTCACCACTTCGACTAGTGCATGCCCTTCCATGCGGCACACAATTCATCACAATTTTTAGCTTAATCGCAATTTTTTGCTTCACTGGCAAGCTCTGGTCTAAAAGAGGAAGCTGTCTATGCAAACGAGATGTATTGGGAGCAATTTGAGTCGACAGTGGAGAAAAAAACATGAAAGATCGTGTAAGAGCTCACAATAGGGCTCCCCCTTAAGCTGCACACAAGCCATGGTTTGGGAAGGACGAATCTGAATGTGTTTTCAGCAACTGTTGTCTCTGTGCCATCAACAGGCACGACTGAAATACTCAGCGGCAGAAGTTGGCTTGCTGCTAGTTTTCTAATGTTCTCTGCTTCTCTGCACCGCATTGGTTTGTTTCTATCAGATCTTTTCGATGCATTAGCATGATTAACATAAAGTTATCGATAACTGCTAGCACAGACTTTACTGTTTATTCTCGCACTTTGCTAAATACTGTCCTCCGAGCTTCTGACGGTCAACGTTGAAGGCATGCCCAAGAATCGCAGTGGTGTGGTTCTTGCACACGAATGTGAATGTATTGGTGCGAAGTGGGCCGGCAGTGAAGAAAAAAGGAAAAGAATCCGTCGAAAACGCTCAGGTTAAGGGCTCACTCACCTTCCTAATCGGCTGTGCTAAGGGAATGAGAGACTAAGCGCGGAGAGGAGAGTATGAGGCGAGAGAGCGCTACACGTGTGAGAGCGCCAGATAACAGCCTTTAAGCTTTTCCACGCGGTTGAGGGAGGTTACGTTACCTTAGGCGGGCTCAATGGATTTGGGGCGGCGCCAATGCTTCGTCCTCAGCTCTGAGCTACGGGCTTGCCAGTACATCCTGCCATACCTGCATATGTTCTGCGCTTGCGCACCACTGCATTTTGGGGAGAAAGGCTAACTTCCAACCAAAATCCCAAACTTCGCTTGTGATCGACGATTTTTGACGCATCCAATGCGCTGCAAATTCGGCTCCCCATAATAAGTGAAGAGAACGTACTCCCGCGCGATTTGAAAATTTTACGAAATGGTAGTCATGCCACGTTGAATCCAGTGGTGTGTGGAAACTTTTTCGGCTTTCGAAAATTTGTAAACCCGCAATCATAATCAAAGTGGAATGGATAAGAAGAAAGCACTCAATAAATGGAGTTTCGCACTCGAGGCGCATTGTAAGGCAGGTATTGAGAACCATTCTATATTATTCGCATCACATACAAGCAATTACTTCTTAAGATAAAACTCGAGTACATTTCGCAGACCACGAAGAAGGTTTTGTAGAACTCGAAAGCAGTTTATTATAGATCTCGACAAAGATTGCAGACGATATTTTTGGATTTAGAAAAATTCAAATTTGTAATCAGCTTTCAATTAGAAACGGAAAAAGGCGACTCGCTTTATTGCGTGAATTTTTCAAGTTTTTCGGGGAGTAGCGTATGTTGAGTCACAAGCATCCGGCTGATTCTACTAATTTTCTAGTGCAAAATGGGCACTAAAAAACCTCGCGCTCGAAAACCCCATTGAACGCACAAAAGATCCCATAATCATAATCCAAATGTCGCAAGAGGAGAGTTGTAGAACCCCGCCTTTTTGATCGCCTTGGCGGTTCAACCTCAATACGAAAACCTTCAACCGATCACGTTTCAACAGCAGTTGAAGGTATTTCTCAGATGTAAGCTGAAGGGAGCTGTACAATTGGATGTAATGGATTTGACCAGGAACGCCTTTCAGAAAATGAACCACTTTTTCGAAGCGGTTTCCTCATATTATAGTATCGCGCATCTGAAGCATGAAAATGATAATGTTTGATAATAGATGATAGTAAAGCAATGGCTTGTGATTCGATCCCCACTGAAGACAAATTGTTGCGTTTCTCTGATTTCCACTTTCTTGCGCTCACATGTTCCTATACTCGCTCAGTGAATACATACACAGTGAACACCATCTAACATGCAACTACTCAAACGTTGCAAATGTGGTAGGTGATATTAAAACGTGAAATTTCAACTTTATGAGAGACGTTTCTGCTCTTTTTCTCGACAGTCATAGGTCTGCTAGAAAAAACTATTACCAGCTTCATACTCCACGCACGTGCCCCCATAACATGCAACGCTAATTTTGAAGAAGGGTTCAACATCGAACTCTCCTGGTGAGGTGGTCTACTACTTATTGAAACAGTGCAAAGTCTGTGACGGAATCCTGCCTCTTATCAAAGTAAAGAAAGTAGGTGATCTTAGCGATTAATCGTTTTCAGTACAGCTGGCTTTCGCAGCAACAGAAATAGTAATTCAACTGCTTCTGAAAGGAGCATGCATGGAGAAAAATCAGACCATATGATTCCTGGTGTAGAGGACCATCATAGAATGGCATTGGATAATGGCATAAGTGATAAAAAGTGAATCCAACCAGTCCCAAGAAAAGGTGAATACGCCGATCCCTGAGAATAGGTGCACATAATCGCTAAACTCTTGCGATATCAAACGAAAGGAACGGAATCGGTTCCAAGAATCCTCTCACCAACGTCCTATTCGTGTTGATCCAATGATAAAGTAGCTGAAAGTGGACACTGCGCACGAAATTGTCTGAATGATACCGTTGTACAGAATCGCCTCCTCATTAGTCCAGTCGTACATGGCCATCGTTAAAGGAGCCGATAATCTAAAACCTTCACTCTCTTACTGTATCTGCAGATTTTGAAATTATCTAGGAAAGTTTCTGCCGTTTTCTCTTAAGAGATCTCACCCTATCATATCTAGAATATGAGTTCTCAAAAACATTAAATATAATAAAAATAAATTATTTATACCCTACAGATATATGGATGATCTTTTAGTTATACATAACCAATCGAAGAAAATATTGATAATCTTCTAGAAAATGTGTACTTAGGTTTACTTGAATTAAAAAAGACACATGTTTCTGAAGATAAATGTAATTACTTGGATCTCACTATTAATATACATAATAATAGAATTGTTACTAAATTATATAACAAAACGGATGATTTTAGTTTCAAAGTCAATAGATTTCCACATGTTAACTCTAACATCTCAACTACAAATAAAGCCTCAGTCATTTACACAGAAACACTTAGAATAGCTCACACTTGTAGCATTTATTATGATTTCACTACTAAACTCATAGATATGATCGCAACCCTTTTATCTAATGGCTACAGAATAGAATTTATTATATATCTAGTGTAGTTAAATGCATTTATCGAAATAAATTTATTATTTATAAGTTTGCTCTTGATAATAATATCAAAGCCATTTACAGATTAGTTAAAAATATAGTAAATAATCAGCATCTTTCTTTATAATTCATCTTTATGTTATCCTTCTAGCTAACATATAAGATATTTATGTATACTGGGTTTATTAATTTTTGCCCAATATAGCATACTTATATAATAAGCTACTCTCCTTTTACACATTTAATCCCTTATTTACATTCATCCTTTTATTATAATAACTGCCATACATATCTAAGGTAACTCGCCCCAATCCTTTTAAAGGATTCACTGACGGGCGCCCTGAGTATCAAACGTTGTTTTTTCTGATATGTACCTAATTTCGCGTCTTGTCCATCACATTCCACTTTATTTTCTAGAT